TGGAGATGAGATTTCATCAAGTCCTAGGCAGCACTCTAACCACTACACCACATTGTCTCTCATGTTCTTGTGAGAGTGTGAGAAAGACAGAGTGCTGAGGGGCATTTACAATTGACACAGGTGTTTGTGTAGGTGTGAGATAGGAGATCTGCACACCTGACAGACTAGAAACTTCAGAACCAGTTTGACAATGGGACAGATGGCTTCCATCAAGAAGGTAAAGTTGGTGAAGATTGTGGGACTAAGATGTATCTATGCTTTCCCAGGATAAAAACCCTCTCAGGCAATTTCCCAGGAATATCACTCAGGTATTTTGCATTGTCAAAGCTACTGCAGATTCATCAACAACTCCACTGTTTTCTAAATGTGGGAGTCATAAGGTGCTTGAAAAGTATAGGAAAGTTAAATTATATTAGTTCAAGTTGGTAAAACATATGGGGCAAGTTTCTAAAAATGAAGGATATTTGAGAGGATATTCCTAATGAAAGAACCTTCCTATACATTCTGGTGCTTTGATACAATTCCCGAGTGAAAATGGGAACAAATAAAGAGGGGACTAAACTGTGCCACCTTTCCCTGTTTTGACCTCTTAGGAGATCAATGCTCGCTGTGTGCAGTGGCATTGTGGCTTGCAGGACCAGTATGTGCAGCAATCAGTCCATCAATGACCTCCACCCCCAATGCAATTCAGCTCCTGGTAAGTACACTGAGTCTTTGCAGTTCCTGGTGGGATGGTCCCATAATTAAATGAGCATTATCTGATCTCATGCCAGAAATGCTTCCATTTTCTTCCTGTGACACACAATTATAATTCACTGCCAATGTCTGCCTGCTGTGGTGTGATCCTGTTATCTCCACTGTTATTCTGTGCAGCAGCTGTACCATCAGTTTTTTTATTTAGCTTCTGTATTTTGAAGGTTGATGGATTAGTTCAAGAGCCTTGTGTTTCCATGGTGAGTTGGGCTCTCTAATTTTATGATTAGTGATAGACGGAATGGCCATTGCCATTTTCTCCATGGGAGCTGAGGCTACCAGAATTTAACTCACCTGAAACAATTAGTAAAACCAAATTGAAAGATAATTACGTTAAGCAAAGCATAAGCAGAAACTGATAATACTGAACACCTATTTTCAAAGACATAAAAACATTGTCTTCTCTTTGATGTTACAAAGTCATTTTAAGTGAGGTGGGGGGGGAGCATGTGCTGGTGAGCTTCCCCCACCATCCCAACTGGCAGATGACTCATCTTTGGGAAAGAGGAAATGAAAGATATATGTTGTCAGCAGCATGCAACATGGTCATTTTTTTTACTCCAAAATCTCCAGACTACAGTCTCCCCTGTGCTGTTTGAGTTGATGGTTACAGAAGCTGGCTAGTCCTCTTAAGAGCCCTCATTCATTCTAGGCTCAGCTAGGTACCTAGATGGTGCTACAGTTCTTTTTAAAGCTCAGTCTGAGTTTGATGGTGAAACAACATTTGAGCTTGCTTCTATGACTCTTCAAGCTTACCTTCATATGGGAGCTATGCAGGCTCTTAATTGCTTTGTTTTGACATTGCTTCATTGGAACCTGACCTTGGCTCTGTTTTAACGTTTTGAAACTTGACCTCTTTTCTTCTTAACTTTGCCCTACTTGACATCCTTGACCTTGTTTCCCTCACTTGGTACTCACACTTTGTTAAATCCCCCAACATTTGTGTCTAAACTACATATTTAAAAAGACAAATAAAAAATATTTTCATTTGAAATATCATGACTTTCTCCAAGGAATTGAACTTTTGGAGTCACTGAGAGTTCTCTTAGAGATCTCTGGGGAGCCCTGGGAAGTAGGGAATCAACAGAAGCTTTATTTAAAGCAATACACTAGATGCATCTTGAATGTGAATCCATTCTTGATGAGCCATTACGATAAACTTGTTATTAAACTGAAAAAGTAGTCCTTGGCAAGACTTAAGTAAAAGAGCATGAGGATGTTGAGGGGTATATAAAGACATGGAGAACATCTCTTTATGCATAAGACTAATTTGAGAAGTCTGTCAAAGTCCGGTTCACGGGCGATCGAAGTCCCGGCAGGGGACGTCAGGACTGGGGGAAAGATGGTGGGGTGGGAGCAGGAACAGGGGTCCAGAAGCCAGGAGTCAGGAAGCCAAGAGTCCGAGGGTCAGGAAGCAGGGAGTCAAGAAGCCAAGGTTCAAGGATCAGGAAGCAAGAAGCCAAACACAGCAAGGCAGGAGGCGTGTTGCTGTGGCAAAGAGCCGAAGGGAAATTTTGACCTTATATCCCTTCCCAGCTCTTGCCACCAGGTGCTGTGAGTTACCTGTGAGGCCGCGCCTTGCCTCTTCAGAACAAACTTAGGAAGGCCCCAGTCCTGCAGAGTCCTATTGGTCACAGGGCCTGGCTCCTGCATACACACCTGACAAAGTCCAACAAGGTCCCAAAGTGAAATTGGGCATATTTGGAGGGACTGTTAGACAAGTCAGGCATAGACATCTACAGATCAGGTTGGAGGATAAGGCTAAAAGAGACTACTAGCTATGAAGGCTCTGTTCTGCCTCCATGGTCGGAGGTGTGATATCTCTGAATACCAGTTGCTGGGAATCACGTGGGGTGAGTGCTGTTGCATTAAAGTCCTGCTTAAGGGCTTTCCATGTGTATCTGGTTGGCCTCTGTGAGAACAAGATGCTGGACTAGATGGGTCTTTGGTCTGATCCAGAAAGCCTTTGCTTATGCCCCCTTTTTAACATTGGTGTTAGTCATTTGCACAGCAAGGTAGATAGATTCAATCAAGTAGAAGGGGAGGAAAAGGCAGGTTTCAAATTGACTCGAATATTTACTCCCCACTGTGGTTTTGCTTATAGTGTCATTATAACCTTTAATTTAAAGTAGAGTGGAGTGCTGGAGGCAAGACTATTACATTTGCTTACTATGGGGGTAAGGGTTCGATGAAAGTTTATGAACGTTGTTTATGAATAAAAGAATGGAAAGAACAGGGGTGAAACGAATATTCACCAATGATCCCAAAAGCTAAATTTATTCGGATATCCATGTATCTGTTTCTCCATTAGCTAGGCTTGTAAGGAATCTATTTCTCTAAGGGTGGAAACAAACATTATATAAAAATATATAAGTATACAGTAGACCCTCAATATACAAACATTTAACTTGAGTGCATTCAGCGTTACGTGCTTAATCTTTTCTCTTTTTTTTAAGAATTAAAAAGTGGAAGGAAAGTGGGCAAAAAGGGGGAAGGAAAGACCTTGGCAATGGCCACCCGCCATTGCACCCAAAGTGTTTTGACTATATATGATTTTGGCTTTAGGCATAATCCCTGGAATATAATCCCCGTGTAAATGGTTAACTTACTGTATAATATAAAACATGGAACTTACAGTAGGTGCCTCAGCTATATTGTGAGCAGAGTTTTGTCCTGGTTTTGAAATAAAACACAAATCAAATGTTGCCTCAGGATGCTTCCCAATATAGATTAATGTTGTGAGCCACCCCATGATCGTCAGCACTCATCTCTAACATATCCAGGTTGGACTGCCTGCCTTAAAAAGAATAAGACTTCATATACATCAATTTGATTATTAGTCATCTTATTAATTTAGTAATAAGTGTTTCAGTAGGCACATTCTTTAATGTCCTGACTCAGTGGAAACATTTGATAATTACTGATTAGTTTAGCAGCTGACAACCTCTTTAATCTCTCCTGTTGGTCTCTTGATCCCATAAATTCTGAGAATAAAAAGACTGCAGTGTGTCAAATGGTCAAATCTAAGCCAGCATCCCTTGCTCTTTATATAGTTTGTTTCTTTGATATTTTCAAAACACTGTTGTTCTGGAATTGTAAAATGGACTTCCGAGGAATGATTCATATTCTTTTATTCTAATAAAATGTTTCACTTTAATTATTATCCCAATTATTACACCAGGACCTAGGTAATAAAAATTAAATTTTAAATTAGGTGAGCATCACATTCAATATAATAAAGGTTGTTTGTTTTTTATGATTTATGGCGAGAGCCAGTGTGGTGTAGTGGTTAAGAGCGGTAGTCACGTAATCTGGGTAACCGGGTTCGCGTCTCCGCTCCTCCACATGCAGCTGCTGGGTGACCTTGGGCCAGTCACACTTCTTTGAAGTCTCTCAGCCCCACTCACCTCACAGAGTGTTTGTTGTGGGGGAGGAAGGGAAAGGAGAATGTTAGCCGCTTTGAGACTCCTTAAAGGGAGTGAAAGGCGGGATATCAAATCCAAACTCTTCTTCTTCTCTTCTTTTAAAATCACTTTAGGCTGCACTCCTATGCACGCTTATCTGAAGTCTCCCTGAGCTCAGTGGGACATCTGAGCAGATATGTTAAGGGGTTGCACTGCCGGTGAACGAAGCACCTCTATCCAAAAGGAAGTAAAACTACAGGCTGATAAGGAATTATTTGAAAGTGGTGAGTTATAATTGTCATATACTATCAAATCAATTTTAAATTAAAATCTGAGAAAGTAAAATCATGCTTTAAATTTTCCTTCTTTTTATAATGGTAGAAAAAAATATGTTTAAGCAAACACCAGTTTAAGAAGAAAAACTTTGCTGGATTGAACCAAAGGTCTATCTCAGGGGTCAGCAAACATTTTCAGCAGGGGGGCAGTCCACTGTCTCTCAGACCTTGTGGGGGACTGGACTATTTTTTGGGGGGCTGCTTGAGCCCCGGTGGCTGCTTACCTGTGTCTTGCAAGTGGCAGGGGCTGGCGGTGGGCGGAGGGACGATAAGCAGTGCGCAAAAGGGCTCCAGAGAGTGGCTGCTTAAAATGGCAGCCACTCGAGAGGGGCGCTCAGCCAACTGCGGCTCTTGTGTCTTGCAAGCGGCAAGGGCTGGCGGTAGCGGAGAGACCATGAGTGGCACACAAAAGGGCTCTGGAGAGGGGCTGCTTAAAATGGTGGCCGCTTGAGCGCTGCTGCTGCTGCTGCTGGCACCAACAATGTCCAGCCCCCTTCTTCCTCTAGGCAGGGTGGGGAGAAGCCAGGAGGAGGGAGGAAGGAGGAGGCGCCGCCACTGCCGAGGGAGGGAGAGGGAAAGAACTGAGTGCTGGCGATCCACGCGGCGATTCCTGGACCGTCCGCAGGCCGGATCCAGAAGGCAATTGGACCTGATCCAGCCCGCGGACCTTAGTTTGCCGACCCATGGCCTATCTAGTCAAGGATTTTATTCTAACAGTGGCAAACCAGATGCCTATGGGAAGCCCACAAGCAGATTTGAGTGAAACTCGCCCGACATGTTTTTTTGATGGTTATATAATGCATCTATCGTTGTCATTGAACTTTAATTAACACACGGAGCTTGTGTTTGTTTGGTCTTCCATTTTCACTCCATTGGAAGGGAACTGATCTGTGTGCGGTTACAAAAAACAATTTATGCACCGATCTGACCCTTCCCCAGGAATTTATTAACAGATCTGACTTACTCACCATCAGAGTGTTCTGGGTGCATCTTACTGCTTGGGGCCGCTGAACACAGAAGGACAGATGGATCACAGCGACATTTAGTTTTGTCAGCGTAGAAACTATCTTTTCAAAAAGATAATTGAGGCGGCCACAAAGGGATAAAGTACATAACATTTCCTTAATTACAAAATTGCCTATGTGGATGCTGCATCTTTCAAACGCTAGAGTTTATGCAACTATGATGATTGGTTTCTTTTTTATACCTTTCAAACTGGTGTGCTTCACAATGGAAGTGCTGACGCAGCCTAACCAAATGAAGCTCGGCTCAGCCAAAATGTGTGAACACAATTATTTCAATAACTGTAGACATAGTAGCTCCAGGAATAGATTTAGACAACTGCCTTGCAGCAAAAACACCAATCATATGCCTAAGTTTGGCAGAGAAGGAAAAGCTGAAACAAGAGTCTCTTACAATAAATTGTACACCGGCTACCTTTAAGGACTTTTGGTGCAAATTCAAGAATTTCAGGAGGCAAGGGTTAGGGCACTTTGAAGATGAATTCAAGGCCTAGAGATCATTGGGTTTTAAAATTGCTTTCAGATTGCACTACTTTTGCCCTGAGTTCAGGATAAGTTGGGATTTGAACGCTGGACCATCGTCCAATTTTACATTGGCATGGCATTTGAATATGGATTGCGTTCAGTGGTGTCACTCAGCTGACAAGAAGGCTTCCCTCAGTACAATGGAGACACAAGCAATTTCAGCAATTCTCCTCCCCAAAGTACCACTTTCAAAATGCTCATTAACATTTTGAATTTGAAATATCCTTCCTCAAGGTACAGTTAGGCTTGTGGGGAGGGAGTGGAGCTTCCATTGGCATTGCAACATGGCAGTGGTGGGTTGTCCTGAGAAAAGTGGTCTTTCCACACCCAATTCTTTTAAAAATTCTTTGTTTTTTTTTAAAAAAAATGAGGTGCTGGTACTAATTACTTCATAAAAATGCCATTGATGCCAGCACAAAATTGCTGCTATGGGCAGCCACAAAAAAGATTTGTTAGTTCTCTGTGCTGGTGAGTACCGCCACACAAAAACACTGTCCACACCCATAATGAATTAAATAAATAGCCCTTAAATTTAGAAGAGCACTTTATCATTGTTCTGTCTGTCATTGTTCTGTCTGTCATGCCAGACCCCCCTCAGGCAACAACGATGAATGTTAGTCCAGATATAAATTCTTCGGGAATTACTGTGAAAGTAACCTTGACATATTTTTCATCTTAATGCCTGCTGCCTTACTATGTGAATTCTTCATTTTACATCTGCTAGGCATAGCAAACAATTCTGACCAGAGAATTGTCCACTACCTGCAAGCTGGATCTTTTGACTAAAAAATTGCAGGTTGTTTACAATTAGCAGCTTTAATCACAAATGTAAAACCATTTATTAGCCTGGGGTTTTTTGTTTCTGGTTTTTTGTGTTGCTCTATTTTGAGAAGTATATTCTTCCTGGAAGTGCAATAAAAACCTAATAATATAAATGCACACTGAAGAAGTGTGCATGCACACAAAAGCTCATACCGAAAACAAACTTAATAGGTCTCTAAGGTGCTACTGGAGAATTTTTTATTTTTTAAATTTATTTCGATTGCATCAGACCAACACGGCTACCTACCTGAATCCATAATAATATAGTAATACAGCCAAACTTGAAATGTATTTGACACGTTACTGATAAAACTGAACAATTGGCTAAGAAGATCATCCGCAGTCCCAAAGTGACCTTCTGCTTCATTTTGCTCAGTCATTGCATTTTGTTTTAAAAACGTGTGTCTCCTCTAAGGAGTAATAGAATATACTATGTCACACTGTTCCAAATCAATATATAAATGAAAGAAGTCTAATTTCCACATTCTCTATTCTTATCAAGATACTGTATAAATAATCTGCATTTCTTTATCTAGTTTTTGTAATCAATTTGCCCTCCTTGATATTATGTTTCATTCATTAACATATTATGTTTCATTCATTAACTCTTAACCAACCCAACCAATATATCTGCTGCGGAACTGAAATTTACCAAAACTTTTTACAGATTTTAAAGGAAAGCAAAATCATCCCTTAAGACTCACTTGAAGTAGCAATCACCATGCACAGACCACTTATCCATCTGTTGCCTCCGATCAGAAATTCCTTTATAAAAGCCTGCAAAAAGAATGTTTACAGTGCAGGAAAACAAAATGAAAACTAACAATAAATCATTTATTTCAGTACATGAATAATACCAGGAGAAATTTTCCCCACATGTCTATGATGCAGGAAGAAATATCGGAACCAAGATCTGTTCCATGTCTGGTGGAATTTGAAGATTTCAGGATCTGTGACCTTCTAGCTAGCAGTCCAAATCTTTGATCAGCCACATCTGCCATGTTTCCCTTCTTCCCCATGTTCACCTTTGAGGAGGGAGAGCAGTATGGCTGCAGTGCACACTGCCTATTGGGAAGATTGCAGAGTGGGATACTCACCATTGCCCTGCATTTTCAACACAGTACTGGCAGCTGTAGTCTTGCCCGTGTACTGCTTGCACCAACATGGGCAGCGGCGGCAGCAGCATGTCTCTAATGCCTGTCACCGGCCAGGGTGGTGGCTGCTGCTGAGCAGTGGCATGCTTACTTGGTGGGCCGCAATGTTTGGGCCTTGTATTTGGACTGGTAGTTGTGCAGTGGCAGCAGCTATGTCCCTGCCTATCCAGGCCAAGCTGCAGGAGCAGAGCGAGCACATGCATGTCAATCAACAATGAAGCACGGTCATCCCAGCCTGCTTGCAGCAGAAAGCAGAATCAGTCAGGTGAAAGGCAAGTGAGATGTATGCATGTGATATGCAGTGAATATGAAGTGTGATTAATGTAAGTGGGCAGTGAAACAGCACTACTGAATTGATCATTGCTATCATAACTGGCCTGTGTGTATATATGTAAGTTTGGGCAGTGTGCAAGTGCTTGATAATGGAATAAGGGTGTTTCAAGGATATCCATTTCTGTCTGTGAAATGTGGGAGCAGATTTATTTCTTTACTTACAAAATGTATTTGTATACCACCCACTCACAAAATCCCAAGGCAGTGCATCACACAGAATACTATAAAGACAATTCAAAATCACAAAATAATAATAATAAATGACTGGCTCAGCTAAAGAAAACAAAACAACCCAATAGACCTGTTGGCATAAACAAAGTTGTCAAGAGACACATGAAAGTAAACCTGTGAATGCCTGCTGGGAGAAGCGCTCCACAGTGTGGAACTAGCAACGCTACATGCCTGACTTCCGGTTGAGCCTAGTCAGGCTTTGGTAACATGAGAGACAACCAACAGCACTCCCCTAGATGATCTCTGATCAAGCTAAGATGTGGTTAGTTCATTCAGTTAGCAACATTATTACCTTTGGATCTAGGAGTTTTGAAGCAGTGTAATTAGTGGAACATTATCATTATCGGTTGCACAAGAAGTTTCTCTATTTCACCCTAAATTTCCATTTTTCTATTGAAATGGAAAAATAACAGTCCCGCCTCTCAAAAGTTGATTTCCCCCTATTTTTTCTCTCATCACCATTTTTATCAGCCTTTAATAAGACCCTGTACAAGTTTACCAATAAACTGTTCTTGCAAGAGTTGGTGATCATGTGACATTCCTCTGCCTTGTGACATCACAAGGTCCCAACCCTTGATAGGGTTTTTTTTTGGGGGGGGGGAATCTCCATCCTGCCAACCCTAATGTTTTGGTAATGCAAATATTGGTAACTGCTGACTGATGTGAACAGTGGTTTTGTTTTGTAAACTTCGTAGCTGTGCCGTTCCTCATCAACACTGCTGATTTATTAAAAACAAGTTATCTGTATGCCCTAAACGGCCTCAGTCCAGTATACCTGAAGGAGCATCTCCACCCCCATCATTCTGCCCGGACACTGAGGTCCAGCGCCGAGGGCCTTCTGGCGGTTCCCTCACCACGAGAAGCCAAGTTACAGGGAACCAGGCAGAGGGCCTTCTCGGTAGTGGTGCCCACCCTGTGGAATGCCCTCCCACCAGATGTCAAAGAGAAAAACAACTACCAGACTTTTGGAAGACATCTGAAGGCAGCCCTGTTTAGGGAAGCCTTTAATGTATATTAGGTTATTGTATTTTAGTGTTCTGTTGGAAGGCACCCAGAGTAGCTGGGGAAACCCAGCCAGATGGGTGGGGTATAAATAATAAATTATTATTATTATGTCTTATATCATGCATATCATGCAAATTACAAAGATCCCACAAGCCTGAAGTCTGCCTACCCCTGATGTAGCTTATTCTGTAAAGTAAGCATGAGCTGAAAGGAAGGATAGCTGCAGTATAATAGGCACTCATGGTCAGAGGGCAAATTTGCTGCAGATATCATACAGCAATAATTATGTCCACTCCTGCAACCAATTCGGGCTGACAACAGATCCTTGAGGGAGAAGTGGTCTGTCAGTTCTAATAACACCAGCTTCATACTTTAAAGGACTCCTGCTGCGGAAACAATGGCCATTCCATGGACATATGCACAGGAAGCCATGTGGACAGTAAGAAAGATGGATGCACAAGAGATTTATGTGAAGTGGATTTAGCTTAGGCCATCTTATTCCACACAGCTTAAACTCAAACTCCAGAGAGTATAATGTTAGAGCTGATTAAAGCTTTGTCTTTCTGATGTTGATTCAGATGTGACATTAAAATTCAACGCAAAGCAAATCCATGTAAATTACACACTGGGACAAACCTGTCTCTCTCAAAAGAATTCGGTGCCAAAGAAACTGGTGATGAAATTGCTGATTGCAATCCTGCCCCCCCCCAAAAAAAATATCAGGTCTACACTGGACTCTTTGAGAAGCATCAATAAGATAGAAGGAATTCCTTTCTAAAGGGCTGGGCTGCCTCATTTGCCTAACATGGCAGGGAAGGCATCGACTGAATACCTGACTGAATACCTGAAGGTTACAATCTTCCCTCAACAAACCTTTTTTCACAATTCAGTGAAGAATCTAATGTAGGAGTTCAAGTGTTTAGCGTGGGCAAGATGTTTTTAGTGGAGGGGAGAAAGTTGAGTGGGAGATTGTGCCCATAAACACTGCTGCCTTGGATCTTAAAACCCACCTATTAAAATTTGTGTTTTTATTATGCTAAACCCATGCTTTTAAATTATTCAAATAATGTGGAATAAATTAACTATTCTGGTGAAAGGATTATAATTCCATTAACTAATCTTGAAGCCATATCATAACTTCAATGTGGGCTGCCTGATAATGACTCACGATCGCTTTTGTCCTCCTCCTCCTCCTCCTCCTTGTTGTTGTTGTTTAGTTGTTTAGTCATGTCCGACTCTTCGTGGCCCCATGGACCAGAGCACGCCCGGCACTCCTGTCTTCCACTGCCTCCCGCAGTTTGGTCAAACTCATGCTGGTAGCTTCGAGAACACTGTCCAGCCATCTCGTCCTCTGTCGTCCCCTTCTCCTCATGCCCTCCATCTTTCCCAACATCAGGGTCTTTTCCAGGGAGTCTTCTCTTCTCATGAGGTGGCCAAAGTATTGAAGCCCCAGCTTCAGGATCTGTCCTTCCAGTGAGCACTCAGGGCTGATTTCCTCCTTACCTGGTGATTATTATTACAAAATGCAAGTCATTCTTTCTTCTCCAGCAACCTTCATTCCAATATTTCACTTTCTGGGACACAAATGCATTTTCTTCTTAGATATAATCACCTGCTTAACATCTGGCTTGGCAATTTCAGGCATGGCAGAATGGTTTGATCGGCTTGGCCTTGAGTATCTTGTCACTGATCACAAATACCAATAATGCAAACGGTAGTGAGATTAACTCCTTTCTTCTTGGTGAACAAGGTAATTTTCACAGCATCAAAATGATCATATCAGCATTCTGTTCGGGAAATGTAGGCGTCACTACACCATTCATATGCTAAGTCTACAGTATTTGATATCTGAAAAGGTTCTTCTGAAAGATAGGATCTTTCCATGTTTGTGGAGAACATAGAATTCTCAGGTGAGCAATGCTGCCATCAGGGCTCAGTAGTCAGGCACCTGCCAAGGTCCATACCCCGGGAAGGCGTTCAGTGGCCCTGCTCCTCCTCCCTACTGCCACTGCATGTTCACCTGCTCCTCCAAAAGAAGCGTGCAATGGAAGGAGTTGTAGCCCTTGCTCATCTCATCAGCTCCTAGGTGGACTGGTACAAAAGCAGCAAAAAGGAGGCGGGCCTACTGAGGGTATCTGGGCCAAGGATTGGGTGGGGGGCAGGGTAGGGAAGGGAAGGACAATCACTCAGTGACAGAGCACCTGCTTCACATGCAGAAGGTCCCAGGTAGGACCTACATTTTGGGGGACCTGAAGCTTGAACTGATATGAGGGCCTCTTTACAACCAGCAACAAGGTCTGGGTAACCACTGTTATCTTTTTCAGTGGGGTTGTTCTATGACAGATCACCACCTTAAAAAACACCCCAAAAACCCTACTACATCCCTCTAGGATTGGACCCTGAAGCTGAAGCTTCATTAGTTCCATAGTAGATCTGCGCCTGGTCCCAGGTTCAGTCTCTCACTTCTCCAGAGAGAAACCAGGGAGAGCTACTGCCTGTAAATAAGCAAACAATACTGAGTTAGATGGATAGATAAAATCTTTATTTGCATCAGCCACAAGCCATAGCAAAGGAATCAAATACAATCAAATACAGATATAGCTAGATGGTTGGCTATACAATCAATGGTCTGGCTCAGTACAAGGCAGCTTCTTCTGTTCCCATGCCCAGTGGTGGCTGGTGCCCATTGGGACTGGTAGGGCAGAAGGAAAGAGACCAATAGTAGGTGAATCCAGAGTCAGTGACTACCTAATTATAGTTCTGTCCCGCATCATCCTCCCTCCCCACCCCATGACTTGTAAAAGGGCAACACTGAGGCAGGGCCACCCCTTGGGCTGGTTGAAAGTAAGAACGTAAGCCGCTGAAGGCTGGCAAGGGGGCAGAGAGAGATTAGTGAGGCAGTGCCCTGTTTACCCTAAAGGGTCAGCCTCCATTGCCTGTGTTACAAATAACATTGGCTCCCAGTCCATTTCCAGGTCCATTCAAAGTGCTGATTTTGACTCTTAAAGTTCCTCATGGCTTAGGGCTTGAATCCTTGAAGAATTGCCTTTCCCC